TAGTAATTATAAAACAATTAGGTTTCCAAAAGTAAGAATAAACTACGAATTCAAATAAAATTTTCAGTCATCTTATATAAAGTGAGCCATCCTACTTTTAAAATCACTTTCTATGACAACTAATAAAAAGTTTATCATGAACTTCTGGCAAAACTTTAAAAAACATTATTGAAAGAAAAATTGGACGTTTCATATAAAATTATTACACGATTATGGTCTCCGGTCTGAAAAAACCTGCATGTGATTTGGCATTTCTTTATATTTACAGTTTACTAATGCTGCTCATTAATGTTCTGACACAAAAATATATAGTGTATTTTATACAAATATAACTGATGTAAATGACAAAAACAAAGTTTAAAGCTGATGTCTCTATTAATTTTCACAGAAGCAAAGCAGCAGATGTTATAAATGAAAACAGTTAACAATGATATTGAATAGAATATATTAAAACCGTTATCGCAAGACATAGGCCTTTTCTTATAGGCTGCACAGACAAAACAGTCGGAGATGCGTTTGTGCTAAATCGAGACTTCGCAAGTTCTCTTGTAAAAAAAAATAATACAAAAAAACAACATGGAATAAACTACAGAAAGAGAGTAAAGAACTCTCAACATTAGGCTACTAAAAAGGTCAGTTTTTAAAAAATCTGACTACACTGCACAATTAATCTCTCACACTGCATCTTCGTTGTTTATGATGAATTCGCTGCTTTTATTATTATTGCAGCTTAGATGTTCAAATAGCTGCAGTACTCCGACTTTGCCACAAGGAAAAGTGCGTACGCCTGCTCAGACCCTGATGTGACGGTAAGTACTTTTCCATGTCAAAGGCCGTTTTTATAAATAAGAACGTTGCCATGGATTTTAGCATTTTATAAATGAGGCCCCAGATGCTGTTACTGGGGGTACTTAGACTGGAATTGGGATCCTTTTGTCACAGAAAGCACCAGCCCATCATCACCAACAAGCTACTGTTGGATGGGCCTGGGTGTGCACCAACATGTTAAACACTGAAGGAATTAGTTTCTGGCCCTTTAAGGGAAGCCGTTCAGGAACAACACAAGCAGCTTCACTTGTCTGGCTGTGGGTTCCAGATCTACAATCCTGTGAGAACAGGTCCTTTCTGAAAGGAATCTTCCAGGATGGCTACCAAGTTCAGAAACCAGATTGATTTCTCTCACCTTGTACAGCACCTGTTCCAGCAATCAAACTTGGGATGGCAGGGATAGCAAATATGGATAATAGATTGTTTCAGCCCACAATAGTGAGTCCACTTTCATTTCCCTGAACATCTACTAAAGCACCACCTGTGAAGGCAGCTTCCAGTTCCCGGGGACGAATCTGCCGGAAGAGCAGTTGGCTTTGTAGTTCAAGTGAATTGATCAGACAAGATAGCGCAAGGGTTGGGAACTGAATGTTTTTTGTTGTTGTTTTCTTTTGAAAAACTGGTCATTTCAGAGAAATGAACTATAAAGAGATGGAAAGTATCCATTTACATTGCATTTCAGATTTTAAAAAAAAAGCACGGAGACCATGCAATGGTCCACATCCACATCCCCTCTTCTGCTTTAGCGAATAAAGGGAAAATGACCATGGAGAGAGTAGATGGGTGCCACACAACTGTTACCAGATTTATTGTGGAATGTTTAAATCCCTTTGCCACCATAGAGTCCCCAAGGTTTAGATAGGTGGTTAGGTACTATTTATAACTAGTTTTTATCCAATGTGTGTGCATGTGCGTACTTGTTTTGACTATACTTGTGAGGACCAAATGTCTTCACTTATATTGTGAAATACATTGCCAAACCACTAGTGAGGACATGTTACTGGTCTTCACTAGTTAAAAAGGCTTAACAATCAGCCAAAACATGTTTTTTATTTACATCTAGTGTTCTGCACATGTTTCTGTGGGTAAGTTTAGGGGTAGGGATTGGGTTAGGTTATAGAAAATATCATGAACCTGATAGAGAACCAATCGAAGCTTATGCAATGTCCTCACTAAGATAGCGAAACAAACAAGTGTGTGTGTGAGTGTGTGTGCACTGGTTTGACCTACATTAAGAGGACATCCAGCTTTCTAATAATTAAAATAGCTAAATAGGCATGCTAAACATTGTTTTCAAAAATGTAAAAACTCTTTGAGGGTTATGTTTAGGAGAAAATATCATCAGTCCCCATAATGATAGGTGTGGTGAAAGGAAACAAGGAGATGGTACAAGAGGAGCACATGGTCAACACAAAGACAAAGCCATTTGGTTAAACACAAAACAAACAAAGAAACATTAAACAGTGACGAGACAAGACTATCAATGGACATATTCTCTGTCAGCCTACCCCCTTCGACTCCTTTGCCCAGTGTGGACGCCTGGTTGGGTAGCAGGAGGAATTACCCTGATGCTCATTCTGCTATAGGTCC